CTGGGATAGGCTCTGGCTTCCCATTGACCCTGAACTGGAAGAAGGAGTTAGAATATGGATATTGTCTTTAAATGCCTCATGCTCATGTACCAATTAATGATGTTACTCTCCTGGTTCTAAGAATTTTCCTCCTGTCTTCATCCACAGGCATCAGGAGAGTCCGACTGGTCAATGGAACCAATAGCTGCTCTGGGAGAGTGGAGGTGTACCACCACGGTCAGTGGGGGACAGTGTGTGATGATGACTGGGACCAGTCTGATGCTCAGGTTGTCTGCAGAGAGGTGGGCTGTGGGGAGGCTGGAGCTTCTGTAGCTCTAGGAAGTGCCAGGTTTGGAGCAGGAAGAGGCCCCATTCTTCTGGATAATGTCCACTGTAGAGGGAATGAGCCCACACTGCTGAGCTGTACATCAAAGGGTCTGGGAAATCACAACTGTGGTCATTCTGAAGACGCAGGAGTAGACTGCACAGGTAGAAACTCTCCAGATTTATATTATGTGTATTTATGTTTTTCACATTAAGGAAATGTACAACAAATTCTGTATTAATATAGAGATATAAATCGCTCTAATTATACTCTATTGATCAGGACATAACTACATCGACAGCGAAGGCCTCGTACGAGTCTGATTCACTCACAGTCTTGTGTCCCAGTGTGACATGAAGTCACTGAATCTGGTGTAGAAAGTAATTCATGTCAAGACTGAGCAGCAGCTTGCCCATCAGTTGTGAGTTGTCTGCTGGTGTCAGAATGTAGTTCATTGTTCACACATCATAGTTCATAGATCCTACTAGAGGACACCTGTGGCTCTGTGCTGCTCATTACTTCTTAAGAAACTCCAGACGTGTCTTCAGCCCTCTGGAGAATTTCAAACACACCGTGGTCTACAACAGGGCTGCTGATCCTGTGACCCATTGGTGATCTCTTTCATGTGTGAGAAGATCCTCTCTGTCCTTCTGTACAGACAGCAGCAGAGCCAGACTGGTCAGTATCAGTGATCAGATCAGCTTCATGTACCTGAAAACACACAATTCACCAGGACAGCAAGCCAACAGATTAGTTTTGTATTGGCATTTCCTGAGATCTCCTATGTTCAGCTCCAGAGTCATCTGTCAGACTGTTTCTTGTTGAGACAAAGCAGACAAGCAGTTTCTTGAATAAGGTTTCAGTGGCGCTCACTGTCCAGAGTTGACACAGGAGAGGCTTGGAAAGACCAGCTGGAGAAACAGGAGTGTGTGCTGAAGCTGCAGAACAAAGGGAATCTAATTCAACTGGAAGTACTCCACATCAACTTCCCTTGTCTTGTCAATCTCCTAAAGCGCACGCTGGTCTCTATATCTTTGTCCTTGTCTGTCATGGTGTAAGAACATCCTTCCTATAATTATCCACAGGAAGAAGAGTCCGATTGGTCAATGGACACAACAACTGCTCTGGGAGAGTGGAGGTCTACCACCGCGGTCAGTGGGGGACAGTGTGTGATGATGACTGGGACCAGTCTGATGCTCAGGTTGTCTGCAGAGAGGTGGGCTGTGGGGAGGCTGGAACTCCTGTAGCTCTAGGAAGTGCCAGGTTTGGAGCAGGAAATGGCCCCATTCTTCTGGATGATGTCCGCTGTAGAGGGAATGAGTCCACACTGCTGAGCTGTACATCAAAGGGTCTGGGAAAAAACAACTGTGCTCATTCTGAAGACGCAGGAGTTGACTGTACAGGTAGAATCATGTCAAAATTGCTTTATATATGGAACCATCTGATGTTGAGCTCCAGAGTCATCTGTCAGACTGATTCTTGTTGAGACACAGCAGACCAGCAGTTTATCTGAACTGGCCTGTCCACTGGGATTCACAGTGTTATTGTATTGCAGGTGCAGCAGGCACAGTTCGGGGGAAGGACTTTGTTCTCTCCCTTCTCTATATGAAAAGACATTTTCTATATCTGCTTGTCATTACATTTTTCTACCTTGTTTCAAGTCAGTTTGAGAATCAGCAATATTCAAGTTAGAAAGTAGAGAATAACGACTCTCACAGCACAGCAGCTTGAGCAGTTT